AGTAAACGCTGGCTCCTCAAAAACCCATCTGAACAATGAACATCCCGGGGTGTTTATTCGAATAAATGCGGTATTATAATTAGGCCAAGTAACAAAAAATCCTTGTTTCCTGTCCTGTTTTTTTTCAAAAAGTTGGTGAGGGAAGCACTTATTATTTGATGTTTTGTATTTTTCACAGTTCGTTAAAATATGCCAAAGAATGTTCTCTGCGTAGCAATATGTGTTGTAAACAATTTGTCAATAGTTTTGTCATTGCTTCTTTTGTTATGGTCTTTGTGTTATTTTGAAATTTTGCATTTTTGATGTAAAAACACCCCAAAATTTTAAAAATAACAAAAAACAAAAAAACTGATGCGGGCCCAAAAAATGGTGAGGGAGGAGACGGGAAACAAGGAATTTTTGTTATTTGACCTTATTGTATTTTATATATGAATTTTACTTAATTATCTGACTGTAATGCCAAATTATATAAAAACAAAGGTATGATTAGCATTATAACAAATTTCTAGATGCTGTCCTTGTTTAGTACAGCATTTTTGATTGATTTAAAAGAAATACAATTTTCACATGTACTGTATACTACAAAAAAATGACACCAAATTTGCCTGCCCTTATCTTATCCAATGACGAAACTATACTTCTTTTTTATTTATTTATTTATTCAGTTTTAGGGACTAGGTCCAAGGATATGGCAAACAGTAAACTTTGATAGATCTATAACGTTTATTGAGCTCAGATTAAATATCACTTATATACAGTAACGATCGATACTCAAACTGATAGTTTTAAAATAGAGTATACCTGAGCCATCTGTTAATTTAGATTTTCTTATGAGATTAGAATAGTGTTGTTTTGAAAGTTTATATATATAATATGAAAACAAATTCATCAGATAATTCTACAATATAATGTTGCACACCTAAATGTTTAAACCACTAACAGATTACACAGGGGAGAGTTGTAATGTATTCATCTCCAATAAACAATGTTTGCTGCCACCTATGTTTAACAATAAATACTGAACTGAGAAAATTGCAATCGTCTCCTGTCAGTCCGTCGTGTTGTGTCATAAACAGTCATAAAACATTACATATATGGACAGCCTAGCTAGGCCCCCTAGCTTGGGGGGTGGGAAGGGCTTGCCAGCCAGGTCCCCTATATTAAAGTTACATCACAAAGTCTAGGCTAGGCCTAGCTATACACAATGACATTAGTTAGGTAGACAGGGCCTAGCCTATACACCGGCGAAAAATATAATAGACAAAACACGTAGGATATGCCTTGGCTTATGCCCCTAGCCAGAGAGTTAACTGGCGATCCAACGCTAGTTCAAGAATCTAGGCCAGCTTACGCTTATACAAGAAGATCTAGGCCTAGTATGGCCCAGGGAATGCAATGGTTTTGGCCGCGAATTAGGCCTAGCACAGTAGTATAGTTAGGGAATTCAACAACAGTTAGGTCTAGGCTACACTAGTATAAATTACTTACTTTTACTTCACTTTCTTAGGCCTATGAATCTTCCTTCATTTACACTCGCTACAAGACGACGGCACTAGAATGGGCGCTTCCTTTGTGAATTCAAAACTTGAAACGGGACACTGGAACTGCCAAAGACAGCTAGTTCATTGGCTTAAGTCCGATGGTCCCATCATCGCTAGCTTCATTCACACAAACTGGTATTTCTACTGAGCATGCGCACACACTTATTAAGTAAAAAGTACCGCAATGGGGCATTCATGTCATAACTGTAGCTACGTATAACGTCTTAAAAATAAAGTATAATTAACAGTGGGTCAAAGTGGAATCCAGGGCATAATTATCTGCCCAGGTATGTGGCATGTGGGGCCCATGTACAATGAACATAAGAAATGGCCATGCATTTTCCCAGATATTTGGCACATGGGCCCCATGTGGCGTACATATTCCTACAGCTATTTGTCCAGTTACTTTGGCATATGTGGCTATATATGTAGAGTAAACACAGGCACAAATATTATTTCCTATATATTTGACACATTAGGCCCTATGGGAATTTGGCATATTGGACCCATGTAGATTGCACATGGACATGAATTTTCCCAGATATTTGGTATATGGGTCACATGTAGATTAAATGTGGCAATTCCCAAGGTTATCTTCCCTGTTATTTGGCATATGTAAATGTGTAAATTAAACACTAGCTTAAGCCCATGTATTTCCCCAGCTATTAACACATGGGCCCCATGTGGAGTAAATGCGGGTATTATTTCCATAACTATCCGCCCAGTTATTCAGCATATGGGGCCCGTGTAGATTGAACAAGAGCATGTCCATATTTATTTTCCCAGATATTTGGCACATGGGCTCCGTGTAGATTAATGTGGGAATTCCCATAATTAACTGCCCAGTTATTTGGCATGTGGTGCCCATGTAGACTGAACATGGGCATGCCAATATGTATTTTCCCAGATATTTGGCACATTGAACCCATGTGGATTAAATGTGTGCATTCCCATAATTATATGCCCAGTTATTTGGCATATGGGTCCCATGCAAATTAAATAAGGGCATGCCCATATGTAACTTCCCATATATTTGGCATATGGGCTCCATTTAGATTA